TGCTCTTCACTTTTCCAGTGGGCTTCAGATTTCATCAAGGAGCCTGAGAGAGGCCCTCTTTCTGTTGTTCACTTCTGCTCTATCTTCTGGAGCTCAGGACAATGGCCTTTATGCCCTCCTGGGCCTTTGTAGTGTGGAACCAGATAGTGGCACAGCCAGGAGGCCAGAGATGTGGGGGTGGGGGGGTGCAGGGCGTGCTGCAGGTGCCCGTGAGCTAAGCTGGTCACGGTGTTTAATAGCTTTTTAATAGGCTTTTCTGCAAATGTGATTGTTATCTGCCAAAAAAGATAGATTTTCTTCTTCTTTTCCAGTCTGTATACCTCTCATTTCTTTTTAATGTCTTCTTTCACTAGCTAGGACCTCCAATACAGTGTTGGACAAAAGTACTGAGTGTCAACTACTTTGCATTTTCTCCAATCTTAGGTGGAAAGCAATCAGTCTTTTATCTTTAAATACAATGCTAATGAAGGCCTTTGTTAGATTGAGGAATTATCTTTGCATCCCTACTTTTATGAGAGTTTTTCTTTCTTTTTTAAAAATATGAATGGGTAGTAAATTTTCAGTACACACTGACATGATCATGAGTTTTCTTTCAGTTTCTTAATACAGTGAATTTTATTGCTTAATTTTTAAATGCTCAGCTTTCCTGTGTTTCTAGAATAAATAGTATTTAATCATGATGTAGGATATTTATAATTTACTGCTAGATTTTAGTTTCTATCTTGTTAAGAATTTTGGTATCTACATTCACAAAGGATGTTTGTTGTCTTCTTTTCTGGTTTTGGTATATGATCTCCCCCTATCTTCAAAGCAGCCTGGACACTGACTCTAGACAATAAGTGGGCAATCATAAGGCTCACTTCATCTTTTCCTTTCTCTTAAGACTACACTTTTCTACTACCCACTGTCCAATGTCTAATAACAGTTGTTTCAAGTGTTTTTCTAATTTATGGAAGAAGGATGATTTTTGTAGCAGATAATCCTTCTAGGAAAGAAGCAGAAGTCTATTTCTCCACACAATTTAAGACCTTTAACTGCTAGTAGAATGTCTCTTATTTCCTTATACCTTCATATAACCTTCATGCAGATACACCCTGCAGAGCCACATATTTAAGTGTGAATGGGGTTTTTTGGTGGTGCTTGGAATTGAATTAATGTGCATGCTTAGGCAAGTGTTAACCATCCAGTTAAACCACAGTCCTAAATTTTATCTTTGCACTCTGTGGCAGCTGTTCAGATATTTGAAGGCAGAATTTCTGTCCTCCTCAGACTTTTTCTCAGGTTAAGCACCCTTAGTTGTTTGATGCTGTGGACAGGATATATTTTGTCCCAGAAAGGTTTAGGTGCTGAAAGCTCAGTCCCAGTGTAGGAGTGTTGAAAGGTGGAATAACTTTTAAGGGGTGGGCCCTAGTGGAAGGTAATTAGCTCATGGAGGCACCACCCTGGAAGGATGCTTGAATAGGTTAGATTTTACAGAACTGGATTTATTGCCAAGAGAACAGCTTGTTATAAAGCCACGTAAGAGCAGGTTGTTATAAAGCTCCCAACACTTTATGCCCCATCCAGCCATGTGTTACCATCTGCTATGTTATGCAGCATGAGGCACTCACCAGGTATGGCTGCCAGAGTTTGGACTTTTCAGCCTCCAAAACCATGAGCCTAAATAAACTTTTCCTTATAAAGTGCAGTCTTGAGTACTTTGTTACAGCAACACAAAAGGAGCTAAAACACTTAAGCTATTTCTTATTAATGGAGCTCCCAGACGCCTTATAAATATGGTTAGATTCTTTTGTCATAGTTCTTTTTAAAAATAATGGTACTTATATCTGAATACAATATTTTAGATGTCTTTAGACCAACACAAAATAGATACATTATCCATTCAAACCCATGGCAAAATCAGTGCCAGTTCCAAGAAAAATAAAGTTCCTATTTAAAAATGAAAGCAGACAATGAAAAGGCACATACTATACTTTGGCATTTCAGTACTTCAAATCTAGCATTTTGAAGGGCATATGTGATGAGATTACCAACTTTCAGTTTTTAAACTCTGTACAGTTTCTGTTTAAATGTTGGTTAAAATGATTTCTCTTAGAAAAGACACTTGGACTTTCAGAAATCATTACTGAGGAAACTGAGACTCTTCTAAGATTGTTCTAGGCAAGCAAGTTGTAAAAACTGTTTGGTTGCTTGAGCACTGATATATACAGATTTCTGTCACATAAGTCACAAATAGGTAAAGTGATAAGCTGTTGATTGGACAAAGACAATAATTAATATTTATAATTTCTCATTCTTTATTTGCTCTATTTGACAGAGGGAGGGAGAGAGGAAGGGAGGGAGCAAGGAAGGGAAGGAGAGAGAGAGAAGGAGAGATTAGAAACCAGGTAGAGTAACTATGGCATTTCTTTTCTATTCATCTAAATGCTCCAAACAAGGTAAATATGTATAGATAAGACAGAGAAAAACCATAATTAATGAACAAGCTATGGACAGCAGTTTTAATGACAGGTTAATTTGAGGGCTGTCACTTCTGAGAAAAGGATTAATGTCAGATTAGGAGGAAGTTCCATTTTTGGAGAAATTCCTACTGGTTATTCCTACTTGTATCTCTGTAGATGGATCACGACCTCTTCCACATCTGTTTGTTAGCAAAATTCAGTTCCTGGTGTTTGTGGAACTGAGATTCCCATTTCCTTGCTGGCTAGCTGTTGTTTAAAGGGCATTTCTGGCCTTTAGAAGTGATCCATATTCCTTGACTATGGCTTTCATTCTCCAAGTTCAAAGCCAACAATTTCCCCCATCTTCCAGCTCTCTAACCTGCTTGGGCAAAGCTCTGTAGCTCATTATGATAGATTGGATATACCTGGATAATGCAGGCTAATTTCAAACTCTCAAGATTGGGACCTTAATCGCCTATACAAAGTTCTTTTTGCCATATCAGATAATGTATTATAGGTCCTAGAGTATAGGAAGTAGAAATTTTGTGGGGGGGATCAATATCCTACTTGTCACATACCCAATGCCAGAATTATCCACAAAGCAAGGGGAGACAATGTGGAAGTTATATAGCTCAGATTTATAAAAATCTTTACCTATGTGGTCTGGTCATACATGGTACATGTCCTTCCCTTAAAGGATATCAAGGCTCCTTTCTTTGATCAAACACATTGACACACTTGACTGTCTGACAGTACAACTCTTTCTGACCAGTATTCTTCATTACATACAAGGAGAGTCATATATCTATTATTCTTTCTTGTTGTTTTCTGCCTTTTACCACTAATGGCCCAGTGTGACCATCTTGTATGTGTAAACATAGCCTCTTTAACCTTCTTCAATTTTCATCTTGCATAAACACACATTAGCACCCTTATGTGGTCTCCTAAATTTTTCAGATTGCCTCATGGAAAAAGAAACATTCTTACATTGTTACTCTCTTTTGCTGCATCCTTTCTTGTTTGTTTAATTGTAAGCTGATCAATTAAATGTGAAAGCAAATTTAGGAAATAGTTTATTCCTAAACCGAAAGTTGCTTCTGCATAATTGGTTAATTTTAAATGGCAATTGCTATCTCTCATCTTGAAGTTATTTTTGATGAGTCAAAAATGTTTCATCTCACATCAGGGCATTCAAAAGATACATCTGTACACCTTACTCTGTGCTCTGAATATTACTCTTTTTTTCATAGACCTCTCAGTACACTCCATATTTTGGCAGTTTGAATATCTCTGTCATATGCTTTTGATTAATTTATTAAAATTTGATAATTATTCCCCCAATTTCCTCTTTTGAAAGTACTGCAGGATGAAATGAATGAATATAATGTCATCCATCTATTTTCTAAATACATCTTAAAATCAGTACACTGAAATCTTAAATAAGATGTCGGCCAGAAGCATTATTCACCTTGTGTTTTCTATGATAAATAAGGTTACTGTAACTATTAGCATCAACCAAACTAATTACTACTGGAGGCAATTACTGAGATAAAGTAAAATATTATCTTAGTACCTCACCCAAACCAACCCAAGCCACAAATAGGCATGGGAGTGTTATAAGGTCAGGGACCAGTTTGGCCTCATTAAAACACCTTCATAGTAGAAGTCAGTAGGCAGATTTTTAGATACAGTACTGTTTACAGTAACAAAACTTTTGGAAAACCCAAGTGTTCAAAAAATAAGGTTGGTTAAGTAAGTAAATTAAAGTGTGTCTGCATAATGTAATATCTTGCAGCCCTTTAAAATGATGTTGTAGAAAGGTATTTATGCCACTGGAAATTGGCTTGCTATTTTTTAGTATGACAAAGTTAGAAACAGGTCATATGATTATTATATAGCTTATGAAAAATAGCCCTTATAATATTATCTCAATTATGGATAGTAACATATCTTTATATTCAGAAAAATCTGGAAGATATACACCAAAAATATTGTTTGCAAAATCATGTTTTTCTTACCAGTGGAATTATGATTGACTTTAATTTTTGGTATACTTGATAGTGTATATGCTCTATTGGTGATCAGTAAAAGTTAATATTGTTATTTCTAAATCAGTGGGGAACAATTTATCTAACTCATTTCACAGGAAATGAAGAACTTTAGAGATGGTAAGTCTTTGATCATCGGCAAACATTGTTACTGGGACACCATCAAGTCCATAATCTCCAACATTTAGAAATGTTTCCATCATTTTACTTTCTTGAATTGTCACAATAATTTCATGAAAGCGGGTGAGTAAAGCAAATAGTAATCAGCTTTGGCTAGAAACCAGAAGTACATTTGTAGAACTTAGATTGGAAATGAAAACTTTCTTAGGAGTCCAGGGCAACATTATTAGCTGCCAAGTCCTCTGTAGCCTCCAAACCCTGAGGAAAAACTGTTTCCTCTAACCACTTGCCGGCTTTAGTCTCGGCTCAGCCAATGAGCTCCAGAAAGCAGCTGATTCGGAGGAAGTGACTTCCAAGTGGCAATCTGCAGAGTGGATAATGACTCACTCACCACGTTTGTGAGAGACGACAGCCTGTTGCTTCTTCTTCTTCTTCCACAGAAAGCATCCCAGCCCACATCCAAAGATCACGGATATTAGAACTACAGCTATAATCCAGGAGGATTGATGTGTAGCAGGCAAATGATGACTAGGAACTGGAAATGACAAGTTTTCAATCAGCCATAAATTCACTTACAAAAATTTCATATTTGCTGCTGTTCTCTTTATTTACTTGCCAGCATCTCCCCCTTTGCTTTTGCTCCAGATAGGAGACCACAGAAAGTCCCAGTCTTAGGGCCTTAGTAGATAACTAAGAATCAAGCCAGTACCTCTGGCCAAATGCTTGGAATGAGCTGTCTTCCTTTTTCCAAGGTGGGTTTGATAATGATCTTGATCTGGAAGGAGAGAGTGAACTTGGCTATGATGCTGGAATCTGGGTAAAGTATTTTGCTAAGGGTCTGAATGTACAATCATTGGGACAGCACCCTGCTACCCCAGCCCTTGTGCAGTCAGTCCCCAAACCCTGACGTTTCCCTTGTAATGGTTCCTCCATCCATCAACATCTATAAATAAGGCTTTTTCACTTGGACAGATGGTATGGCCTCCTCACAGCCTCCCATATCCAGTTTGGCTTTGTTTGGTCTTATTTTCCCCTGAGGCCATAACAGGCTTTCTCAGCATGGCTTTCAGTATGTCTCAGTACTAGAAATCTTTGATATTTCCCTATACCCTGAGGAATCAGGATCAGAATTAGCTCCCTAGAGGTCAGGAGCTATATTCTTGCATGGAAATTCCCAAATTCCTGGGAAGTTTAAAATAAGTTTTGCGATGGAAAATTGAGTTGCTTACATTATAGACATTTTTGAGAGTAGTTCTGGTAGTCTTAAATTACAGAAAAAACAGGATCAGTTGATGCCCCTTTAGTTTAGCTACAATATGTAGATATATTCCCTGTTCCTGGGACAGTAAAGAAAGGAGTTTTTGATGTTGTGGCCATATTCAATGCCTTTTGAATATGTCCTAGTTTATCCTACTTGAGAATGTTTGGCATTCCCAGTACAAGAAGGTTACAGTTGTAATGTGGCAACTGCTATTTTTTGGCACTTCCAAAGATCTAGTTTTGCTCAGAGTCTAACCTATCCCTGATCAAGCCATAGACTAGGGACATCTTCCTGAAGCAGCTAGAGCTGAAACATTTCTGAAGCTGGTACTACCTGGGGAGGTTTTGGTAGCAGTTGAGAAGCAAGAGAACAGTGAGCCACAATGAAGCTACAGTGATGGTGACTGCAGGATCCCTGCAGAGTGCCCAAGGCATGTCAGGGGTGGTGATGCTTGTGGCTAAAAGAAGGTGCTGGACTTCAGGCATAGCTTAGAGAGGCTAAGAGATACTGCAGAAGAAACAACCAGGACAGGATAGGTAGTCCTACTCTTTACTGGACTCTCAGAGACTGAGCTGACTGAGTAGAAGGAAGTCAGTACGAGGAGAGGGTATGGGCCCAGTTGTAAAATTGGCATGTGTGGATAAGCTGTAGGGTCTCTTACTGAGAGTGCTTCTGTAGGCCAAATTATATCCAAAAAAGATGCCAGGAGAAAGGAGGCAGCAAAGACAGGGAGTGGAGCAAGAGGCTGAATGATGCCACTGGAGGGGACAAACCAAGGGCTAGAGAAGGCGCCAAGGTGAACAGAAAGCAGGTAGGGGCAGGGATCAGAAAAGCAGCGATAGAGGTGGTATAGTTGCAGTGTCTAAGAGGGAAGCTTGTAGTTATTGCTCTTAAGTGTGGCATCACAAATATAGATGAGACAAAGCTGAGATTTTAGAATGTCAGGCTCCTGTTAGTGAACATTGTTTAGTTTCAATTTTTCCTCCAGCTTCATGGGGTCCTACAGCCCATCATGCCATGACCATTTCTGCCTCTGAGTTTTTCTTTGCTACACCCAGTCTTATGTCAGATATGGCTGATCAATGAGGTCCTTTCGCCTGTTGACCCCTAAAGCTGTCTCAGACTTGTTTTGTGCAGGAAATCTCTGCAAACATGAGAGTCTGTCATCTGGAATTCCTTCCCCTCTTAGTAAACCCAATAATCTCTTTTATGGTATTAGGTTCCATTGTCTTTAGGAAACCTTCCCTGACCCTCAGAGATCTTGCCTGCCTCTGAATGCCCACAAAAGTGATTAATTTATTTTAAATTTAGTCACATATTTCCACAGAATATAATTTAGATTCTAATTCAACCTTTTTAAAAAATTCAGTTTTCTATTTGTGCATATCATGAAGTTCTGATTCTACTGGAAGATCTTTAAGAACAGAAGGGATCTCTTACACCTTTTAGCTTCTACCTCTGTAACCAGCAATATCTAGAATGGTTCTGTACTCCTAATAAATATTGCACAAATGCACACATGTATGCATTCTCTTTCTCTCTCTTTCCCGCTCCGCCCCCCTCTCTTTCTCTTTTAATCAATGGGAAGAATTCTAGACATGAAGAATCTTGTATTTTCTGACCAAAACTCCAGAATCACAGGTAGCCCAAAAAGTCTGGGTCAGTTTCAGGGTCAAGAGCATGATTCTTCAAGTACAGCACAGGCTCATAAACTCCTAGACTCTGCACCACCCAGATGCAGCAGGACCCTCCATTTGGATCCTTTCTACTAGCATCATAAAATGGCCTGGTAGAAGATTTCCTACCAAGCAGGAAACATTGGATAATTTGCTCTAAATAGTACCTGACAAAAGAAATAGTGTTAAGAAGCAGCCTTACCTTTATAGAAAGGTTTGGAGGAAAGCTGCCAATCCTTTGACCTCATTGACTTAGTTTTCAGGACACAGAAGATGGTCACATTACTCATATCATCAGGGAATGGAACATATGAGCTGATGGAAATGTTGTACAGCTCTGTATCATTATCTTGCGATATCTGCATGACACCATCATACTCCAATTCAGTTGAATTTTCAAGTTTTAGCAAAAAATACATCTTCATAGCTTGTGGATAACCTTGTCCAGATGAGCAGGTTAAATTCATGCCAGAATTTCCTGTTACATTAGACATTTGCACTATTTCAGGTTCAGTGAAGTTAGCTGGACACAGAATAGAGATACAAAAATCAGACTATATTTAGATGTTTTTATAAGAGAACAACAAATAAGTAAGTACTCGATCTGGGAGCTCACTGGATCCACCTGGGAATCCCAGGTTGTATAAAACCTGGTGTGGGCCACATAATAACTTTACATGTATTTTTCAAGGCCTCCTGTGCTTATTGGGTAACAGGCAGGAGGGCTGAAATTAGCTCACCAAAGATTTAAAATTAAGCCACTATTCCAGGGAATGGAATCTTTGGAAGGAGACTTGGTCTGACTATATGATCCAAGTTCCCCCAGGGCCTTATTCCAGGCTATCAGACTAAGAGGGGAAAAAAATTGAACTAAAGTCCTGCCAGGACTCAAGAGTTCATGGCAGTGGTTCAGATACCCAAGCAGGATGGTTGTGAGTTGGGATGGGTTGGATTTAGAAATTCAGAATATTGGTTTTTGGCACAACTGTCAAGGCCCCTGCATCGCATATTAGAAGATGAAGGCCAAATCCAGCTATTTTTATGGAAAATACATAATCTCAATAAGTACATTGCTTCTCTTGTCTTTGTTTGCCATTCGTGATTTTACAGCTGTTGAAAATCACTGGCACATAGGCCCCAGACCTGACACATGAGCCTTCAGGCAGCCAAACCCCTTGCTCTTCTATAATCATGAGGTAGTTGGCAGGTTCTACAAAGTAATTTATAATTTAGTATATTGTTTCTAAACTGGCAGTCCTTTGCATGCCATTTTTTTCCAGTTTTGCTGTATGAACATGGTATTTAACACTCTGCTTATACTTTACGTTATCTATAGAAGGTAGATTCCCAGAGCTTAGTTAGCCTTACTAGCAGTATCTTTGAAATTACAGGTTGAATAAGTTATAGTTCTTTTAATTTTTGTTAATATACATGTAAATTGCTTTAAAAAATGCTTTTTTGTGTGTTCCACCTAAAATACACCATAGTTTCTCCAATAGTACAATGGCCACACCTTGAAAACATTGATTTAGCATTTGTTTAAAAGTTCCAAGAGCCTGAAGCTTAGTTTGAATCATGTAGGTCTTGAAATGACCTGCATTCTACATCAAATTCTACATCAAATTCTGACTCTGCTTTATTCTGTGGTTTCAGAATAGGTGTTGATTTGCCTTTTTCAGTTTCATTAAGAATTAATCTGGATCTAGTAATATTATGCCTGGGTATCTATCCTAGAGAAATACCAACTTAAAAGCAAAAACCTGTACATAAATGTTATGGCAGCTCTCTTCCTAACAGCCCCAAACCAGAAATTGCCCAATGTCATTCAGTGAGTTGAATGGATAAACAACAGAATGCAACTTGGCAATAAAAAGGAACATATTTTTGATATATGCAATGACTTGGATGAGCATCATGCTGAATAAAAGATGCTAACCTTTAAAGGTTACACATTGTATGGTTCTTGTATTCTCAAAAAGACAAAACTATAGGATGCAAAACAAGGGTTATGGACACAGGGGGAGTATGACTACAAAGAAATATCATGAGGGAGATTTTTAGGGTGATGGAAATGTCTGTATTCTATATTCTGTAGATGGTGATGGTTACATAAATCTATACAATTAATAAAAGTATGTACTAAAACAAAAAATTAATTTTACTGTATGATGATAAGAAAAAAATCTGCAGTAACATTTAGGCTTTTCAAGGCCCAGCGGAATAGAGAAGCTAGTTTGTTCGTTTGTGGGTTTTCTTTGCTGGGTTATTTCCCTTCTGCCTACTGGGCTCATTACTATTGCAGCAAACAACTCATAAGCGACCTATAGAAGATTAAAGAAAAAACCCAAACCAGTCAGATTTCACCCTTGCTAGGAGCTCCAGGACAAGATTTAGTGGGTAAGAAATCTTGAACTGAAGGAGAGAATGAATATAAAATTTTGAGGCTGATATGGTTATAAATCTTAGCAATGGGCAAATTAATTTAACCATGTTACTTTCATCAAGTTAGCTCTATTTTGTCCCTAAAGAAAATTCTTACTGATCTGTCAGCAGCAAACTACAAAAGTGCAAAGGACTTCAGTTCCCTACTCTCAGACCTTGCACTCCCTTTGAATGGATTTCTGAGAAAAGACTGTTTTCTGCTTTCTTGTTGTAGTACCTTTTCCCCCATGCCCTGCAAGCTCCCATCCTCAAAGTTTCTCTTCTCATTTATGGACTCATCTGAGAAGGCCAAAGATCTGGGCACACCATGGACCACATACCAAACACTGACAGCTCAGAATCCTTCTGGTGGATAGAAACCAGTCCTGTGGGCTTTTTGTGATGGATGATACATTGATAGATGCCCTTGTCTTTGATTTGAGCTCTGTGAAGTCGCAGAGTCCAACTGTTCTGGTCAAAGCTTGTGCGGTACATGTAGCTGGGAGCCACATTATTAAAGTTTTCTCTTCCTAAATAAAATTCATAGAGAACTAACTTTTGCTGGTACTGCCAAAATATTACTAGCTCATTCAGGCTGAGGTTTTGAGAGTTTGAAAATTGGCATGGCAGTGCTGCAGTCTCATTGAAATAAGCTTCACTCTTCAGGAAGGCAGCACCTAAAAAAGGAAAGGTGAAGATCAGGGAAGGAGAAACAAGGAGGAAGAAAGAAAGCAATTTCATTTAGCTTTATACAATAGCTAGATGCTCAGTCTTACCAATAATAATACTAAAGAACTGGATTATTATGATCTGGAACTGTGCATCCATCCTGGAAATCTATAAAATAGTTTTGTTCTTGTTTCACTGCTAACTGAATGCATGGCATTGTGCAAACAGTAACCTGTATAAGACTCAGGTTCCTCATCCATTTAAAGAAGAGAACTAAATGCTCCGAGAGTCTTTCTGATACTGTGGTTCTGTGAATTTAAATCCCAGGACAGAGAAAACTAGCAGAATTAGACAATTTTCTCACCCACCTGTCACTTTCCTACCACCTGAGGATTGATGTTCATCACTGTAGCTGCTACAGGCTCTGCAACTCTGCATTCTCTCCCAAAGTCCTCCCTGTCCTACCCTGTCATCTTGGTCTGCTATGGCAAAAAGGTTATTAATAGTGGTGATGTTTGCTATCTCCTATCTCCCCTTTTATTATGCTTTATTAGTTGCGAGTCACATTGAGTAACATCTTTGAAATTCAAGTAGTTCCCTTCACAGGCCTTCCCCCATAGCTGCTGTTCCCATGACCAGCTCACCCAAGGGCAGAAGAAAGTTTGGAATGACTCACTGCTTTGGTGGACTCTCTAAGCAATTTCAGAGACCAGAAAGAGAACTGGGAAGGCAAGGATGTGCTTTGGGAGTCTTGGGGAAACCCCAGGCAACACAGCCAGCATATGCTGCTCCTGGAAACATACAACTCACAGGGTATATGTTAGGAGAGTTCAGAGGAAGGGTTTGGTCCTTGAAAGGATATTGGCATTTGTGGGAGTGATTTGGGCCACCCTATTCCTTGAATGTGATAAATCCCCAGGTTTTAGGGGGGGTCCTTTCTGGGTCATAGAAATACTTGAGACTTGGTAAAGAAATGAGCAATGGGGAATGAAAATGCAGGGTAGGAAGAATGCTGTTTCTTAGTTAATGTGAAGTTAGATGCTGCCTTAGGCAGAAAGTCAGAGTAGGTTCTCAATAATGAGTCATTTGTTATTCAAGATTTCAGGGAAGGGATGCTAATATTAAAAAGACTAAAGGGAGGGGTGGGTTTGTGAGAGACATGAGAGGAGTTTCATTTTACATGATTTTAGTGGTAGAAGAAAATGATTTGTTTTTGTTTTAAATTTTAAAAATTAATTTCATTGATATATTGAAAAGAATTTGATCTGATTAGTGATTTTCTCTTTAAATAGGGAACAGATAGAAAAAATAAGTGACACGCACCTGGGAAAACTGAACACGCGCAGACTTCCCAGGGACCACACATAATCAAGAGCTTGGCAGTGATGCTCCAGGCATCACTGAGATGCCAGGAGTTTGAATTGCTGCTTATTGCAGTGCCCTCACTTAGAAGTCTGCAAAGCATATGAGGTAAAGGATGCATGCCATGCTGAAGGAGGAAGGAAGGAAAATCAGCTGAGTATCTAGAACAGTGACAAGGGGACCTAAGAAAGACTTGGTGAATTTGGCAATTACCTTACAAGGCAAACTTGGGTCTTCTGCTATAAGGTTGGCTTACCTCTTAATAATCATACAAGAGTGCCACCTACTGTGCAAACTCAGAGTGCTGTCTTTGAGAGGATACATTCTGGTTTTGGCCTAATTTGCTATATAACATAGGGCAGATGGCCTAATGAAGAAACCAAAGACACAGCTTAATGTCCTGGGAATTATCAGTCAATGTTGCTTTATTGCTCAGCTATCAGTTATGCTTTCTGGACCTGGAGATGATTTCATAACTGGTTTTTTTCTATCTTCTTGATTTACAGATTTTTCTCTGCAGAGCCTCATAGTACCTTCTCTCCTTCCCACTTACTCTCTGCTCATAGACAAATCCAAATTCTTTGGTCCAGGCTCTTTCTCTCAAAAATCACAAGGGTTTCTCTTCCACCTATCTGTTCTCCTCTTCAACTACCAACAAAAGCATTATTTGTGGACCAACGCCATTGGCATCATCTAAGGAATGGTCTGGCCCCACCCAAGACCACCTGAGTTCCAATCTACATTTTAACAAGAGTTCCAGTTCGAGAAGCTGCTGTAGATGATCTCTGCTTCTGTCTCTAGATGGGACAAATTTACTTCTATCCACATCTCCCCAAACCCTTTTTCATCCCCATGTGGTGAAAACCACACTGTAACATCTGAATGGAACTGAAAGTATTTCACAATTTACACTGTGCATTTCCTCACCAGCTGGTTTTCATGTTATCACTCAGAACTAGGCATGGGGCATCCTGCTAATCTCCTCTTAACCATATGGGGAAGATTTGACTCAGGTCTGTTTTCCCCAAGTGGCTTCAATCCCCTACTGTTCTGATCCCCAGAGCTTAGATCTAGCAACTAGACTCACCAGGGTACCACTGGTGAAAAACACTGAGAATCACTCCCTTCTCCAGCATGTTGGCGGAGAAACAGTCTAGCTATAACCAGTTTAAGTGATGATATCAGGAGCTAGGCTCTCAAGAATTCAGCTAGACATCTCCTTCATCAGGAGTTTGTTTCCAGGGATACTTAAGGACCTCTTCTGTAATACACTGTTTGAATGCCATGTCCAACCCATGGTCTGCCAAGCTTGTAAGTCTCTAACCCTGTTAGGACTCCAGTATTTTCTGATCATTACTCCAATGGCCACATATTATTTCCTCATGTTACTTATTTACACTCATACATTTTTCTTCTTTTACTAACTTTCCTTCAAAGCTTTACTAGACCCTCTGGAAGCCTCATTCCATTGTAATAAACTCTGTATCTTCACCCTCTTCAATGGATACTTTCTCCAATGTGGTTCTTTCATTAAAATCTGGCACTTCCCAAAGGAAGCCACTAGGTTTCCAGCCACCGCTTGTGTTATCCACTTCACAGGGACCTTGAACAGCACCTTCCCTGAGTCATTTCCAAATATTTTCACCCTCAGACTATTGCAGCAGTCCCTCCCCGCATGATATAACCCTAAACCTTATTACTCAGAACAGCTCAACCCCTAGAATCTCCTCTCCATTCACAACCTCCTCTTCCTCCAGGTCTTGCTCTCACTTTCTCTATATATCTTTTCTTCAGCTTCACCAAGACTTCAGCTTTACCCAGTCTAGACCCTCTGCTGCAGTGTTTTCCAAAAGAACTCTTTGAGGTGATAGAAATGTTTCTCTTTGCTAAACAATGTAGTAGCCACTAGCCACCCGCCACTGTAGCTATTGAGTGGATATGTCCCGGGAGAGCTGCGGAAAGAAACTAAGTTTTAAAATCTAAAGTAATTGAAGTATAAATAGTCACATACAGCTAGCAGCTATCAAAGACAACAAAAGAGTAAAATGTATTTTTAATCATTCCACACCAGTAACCTCAATAAACCTACCCTTTTGTTACCGCAGAATTTCTTGTGAGGACACTCTACTTTCGATCTACATATCCTTTCTTATTTTTTTGGTTTTTGGTTTTTTTTGGTACTGGGAATCGAATTTAGGGCCTCACACTTGCCAGACAGTCGCTGCACCACTGAGCTACACCCTCAGCCCTACATATCCTTTCTTAAAACAGAGCAGTTGAGCAGTCCTGGAGGAAAGAACTCTAGTGTTTAGACTAGTGACATTTAAAATCTGTAGTGTCCAGTCTCACTTAACTTGGCCTCCAGACTCACTGCCCTACTTCAAACACTTCCCCTCTGCTCCTGCTTTTAGTTTCTCTTTCTCTTATAATCAAACTCCCTGAGCAGAAATAGCTCCCTTCTCTCCTTGCCTCCCACTCCCACCTCTCTAGTAAAACTGCCCTGACAAAGGTTGCCAGTGACTTCCCACCATGGCCAGTGAGCCCAACTCATTTGACCACTCTGGTGAATGTGACACTGTTGGTGTCTCTCCTTGAAATGCTCTAGTCTCTCCTCCAATCTCTGACTTCCTGGTTCAAGTGCTTGTTGTTGGACCCTTTCTATCCTTTCCCAGGGTTTTTTTGTCTGTGCCCATTGATTTAACTGCCAAGCATTATCAGAAAGAGTCTGTGCAGGTATGGTGGAGGAAATCTGGAATGACTACAGCCAGAAGTGAAATGTAATATGCTATTGGAAGAGTGTAGGCTCAGTATGAAGCAAAGAGAAGGGACAACCATAGAAAAAATTACGTGTTTATCTGGAGAACTTAGGGACTTTATCCTTTAGGTTAGTAATGAGAAATTCTCTTATGGGGCAGGAATGGTCCTCTAGGAATTTTCATGACCTGGATGATGTTTCTGTTAAGATGCTTTGTTTTGATTTCATGTTTGCTATGCTTCCCATTACATAGATACATACATTATATATGTAACTACATAGGCATTATAGCACATGATATTTTATAAAAATATATAACAATGCAGTATTATATGAAATATTATCTATTCTACTAAACTATATGAAGCAGAATATAATATGTGAAACATATCACAAACCCCAAGCTCATTGGAGGCACAAGTCAACCATGTCCTCAGACCACACTCCCACTGTCCCTCATTGCTATTGTTATCTGTTTTGTCCCAGGTGCCCCCAACTCACGGAAGATCTGAGTCCCTGGCTTGCTGCTATCAGTTGCTTCATAATTGAATTCTCTGCTTCTGTCTTGTCCCCAAAAGATGATCCTTTGGAAAGGTATCTCTAATCATACAATTCTTTGTTCAAAAGCCTCTGATGACTTCCTACACTGAAAATTATACCCAAATCCTCCCTCCCAACACACTAAGAACCATATCCAATATGCAAATAGGTCCCTGGTACCTTGCAGACCTGTTTCCCTCACTTACCCTGCCCAAGCCACACTGGCTTCCTTGCTAGTCCTCTAAAAGACCTGACACACTCTCTCTCAAGTCCTCTTCTCAAATTGTCCCTCCACTCAGCCTTGTGGTAACTCCTTCACCTCACGTAGGTCTATCATCAAATGTTACCTTC